ATTTTGAGGGAATTACCTTCATTAAAAATTGTTAAATGTATCCACTGTATAATTCGGTGTCATCTTTAGGATTGTAGGATTTCAGGTGTAGTTGTAAGCAAACATACCGTGGAGTTGCTCTGAAGTGATTTTGATCTTAAGTTTTATTCCCAGCAGATTAGTTTTTGCAGCTTAAGTTCTATTCAACCTGGCCTTGAACACTGCCATGGATGGAGCATTTACAACTGACTTGGGCAACCTGTTCCAGTGCCTCACCATGCTCACAGTAAAGAACTTCCTCCTTATATCCAATCTAAACTTCCCCTGTTTAAGTTTGAACCCGTTACCCCTTGTCCTGTCACTACAGTCCCTAATGAAGAGTCCCTCCCCAGCATCCCTATAGGCCCCCTTCAGATACTGGAAGGCTGCTATGAGGTCTCCATGCAGCCTTCTCTTCTCCAGGATGAACAGCGCCAACTTTCTCAGCCTCTCTTCATACGGGAGGTGCTCCAGTCCCCTGATCATCCTCGTGTTCCTCCTCTGGACTTGTTCCAACAGTTCCATGTCCTTTTTATGTTGAGGACACCAGAACTGCACACAATACTCCAGGTGAGGTCTCACGAGAGCAGAGTAGAGGGGCAGGATCACCTCCTTCGACCTGCTGGTCACGCTCCTTTTGATGCAGCCCAGGATACAGTTGGCTTTCTGAGCTGCAAGCGCACACTGCAGCCGGCTCATGTTCATTTTCTCATCGACCAAAACCCTCAAGTCCTTCTCCACAGGGCTGCTCTGAATCTCTTCTCTGCCCAACCTGTAGCTGTGCCTGGGATTGCTCTGACCCAGGTGTAGGACCTTGCACTTGGCATGGTTAAACTTCATGAGGTTGGCATCAGCCCACCTCACAAGCGTGTCAAGGTCCCTCTGGATGGCATTCCTTCCCTCCAGCATATCAACCGAACCACACAGCTTGGTGTTGGCGGCAGACTTACTGAGGGTGCACTCAATCCCACTGTCCATGTCACCGACAAAAATGTTGAACAGGATTGGTCCCAACACCCATCTCTGAGGGACACTAGTCATTACCTCATCCACATCAGTCACCCCACATGAAGACCAAGGACAGAAAAGCACTGTTTCCGTTAGTAGGTAGCACTGTCATACATGAATATAACATTGTTTATGAATTTTAAAAAAAGCTGGAAGTTACAAGCATCTTCTTAATCAAGAGCAAAGGTCTGAAGCAATTTTCCACTATGAGAAATGTAACTAAAAAACTTCTGCTGTAAGATGAAGAAAAATTAGTTCTTGCCAGGATTCTCTGATGAGGTAATCTGAGACAGCAGTACATGATCCTGAAAATCTTTGACCCCAGGGATTACAGATCTCAGATACTGGTCATCCATGTGGTTGTCAAAGCTGGAAAACAACTTAAGCAAAGAACATGCAATAGTCATAAGATAAGGTGCTATCAACACCAAAATGTAGTTGGGAAATTCCAGAATGACTGTTGCTTGTGTTAGATCTGAGTTTGTCTATCCTTGTGTGTAGATACTAAAGTAATAATCATTGCTATGTGATACTGTAATTACATGATCACATACAGCTGAATTGCATAGTTGGCTACTGTCATAGTCTGCACCAGAGTTAGTGGTGTTACTGTTCTTATTAAAAAAGACAAAACCAAGCAAGTTCAAACTGGTTAAAATAATGATTTTAAAGTTGCAGGTCAACTCATAGTGCTTAGTTAGGAAGCTCCAAAACAAAACTGCATGTTACTTGAAACTTTCCTCAGTATGCCATCTAATGTAATCTTTAACTACGCAATGACATGCCTTTTTTTTTCTTCTGCCGTCACGAACTTTCAGTAAAAACTTGATTGATAAGAAGTTGCCTTCTTAATTAAAATCTCAGTTTATTAATAATGCTTCAAATGAACGTCTCAGCTTTGCCTGTAACTTACAGAGTTTTCCAATAGATTTGTGCTGTTATCAGTGTCTTTACATTTTTTAACCAAGTTAGCCATGCCCTACTATCTTCTGTCTTACTCTTTCATTTGAACTTCAGCATGCAGCTGCATCACAGATCATGCCTTGGGTTTTTCTGTCCAGTTCTTGGCAGTCTGCAGTCTGTTTTATCTTCCCTACTAGTGATAGAATGTGACTCCTTTGTAAACTGCAGAAAGAGCTGTATGATTTTTTGTTACTGCTTAATGCCTAAGTTGTAAATATTATCTAGTCTTAAACTGTATTTTGGTTTTAGGAAGTTTTGGAGTATCTGCACTAAATTGTAGTCCTTGTCAATCAGAACTCTTGAGGATGTTATTGGAACTGGCCCTAGAGTATCTTCCAATATCAACAAAAATATTTTTTCTCTCAAGATGAAATACCTTTTTCTAACATATGTAAGGTGCTCTCTATTCTTCAGTCTCTAAAAGGTGAGCTACTTTGTCACTGATGAGTCAACAAAGAAGAAGGATGCTTTATACTTAATTAAATGGAATATATAATAGAAACAGGAGACGACTAACTCTTAAAACAGCCCACAGAGAGCTCCAAATAATAAACGTTGCACTTGAAGTGAGATGATGATAGCTGAAAATGCATTAAGTAGACAGAGAAACAAAGACAAATGAAGGTCAGAACTCAGTCAAGCAGGCTGAAGTGGAGTAAACACTTTGTCAGGAGGGTAGCCTATGTTAGTGCTAATGTGTTTTGCACTAGTATGGTGCCTATAAAATACTGACTCATGGCATCAGAGTAAATGACGAAAATCTACAACAGTTTTACCTTATGTACACATGCAGGAACAGTAAGACCATAAGAAAGAGTCTTGCCTATTAATGTTGGATTGTGGTTTGTTTTTTTTTTTAAATATTGCATCATGTGAAAGAACTGGTAACAAATGGTGACAGTTGTTACATAAATGTGTTACAGTTCTGAAGCTGAGTTTTGATTGATAATTGGTAGAAGAAAAAAGATGAGACAGTACCAGAAACACACCATCTAGCTGTTATTTTTAGAATGTTGTTCAGAAAACCAGATGAATCAGTCTAAACTTCATCTGCAGGGTTATTTCTTTCTAAACTCTAAAAGGAGGGTTTGAGAACTCCTCTGTGTAAAGAACTACAGCTGATGCCAGCTGAGCCGTATATAATGGACCGGCTGACTCAGAGTTTCCATTGCATGTCACCAGACTTGAGTCTTGGTAGGGAAGTACAGACTTACTCTATTAAAACACTCATGGCTGGTGGCCTCAGATATTTCTGATCATAAGATTTGGGAGTCTCCAAAGGCACGTTTCTGACAACATTTACAAAATATTACTACTTAGCACTGGTGTAGGTGTTACAGAAATTCTTGTTAAACAGCTTGAAATTACCTGCCTTTTATGTCCCTAATTGGAGGAATTTTTGAATTGCCTGCTTTTTGCACAGCTGAAGTAGATTGTTCAGCTATGATAAAGATACATACTGTAATCCTCTATGGACCGTGGGTTTATGTCTGCGTAAAAGCAAAAGAAGTATTCCGTCTTCCTTTCTTATCCATTTGAAATGCATTTGCCTTTTATTTTCCACCTGTTTCCTCTCTGACTCCCCAGGTTTTTAATTTTGATGTTTGGATATCCACCAAGGTACCCATGAAGTTCCTAGATGTATAGCTCAGTGGTCAGGTGCTTCAGTTTGTGGATTTTGCTAAAGTTTGAAGTCTTTGATTTTTATTTATTTTAGGGATCAACTTTTAATACTTGATACCTCCCCAGAAATGGGGTGTATTTATATGGTTTGGGTGAGAAAGTATATCACAGAATAATTCCACAGGCTTTGGCAGAAGGGTGGTTGAGATCTCCATGTGATAAAAGAATGAACCTGAATAGTGGTGATACCTGTAATTTCTTACCTAAGGAGAGACATGAGAAATTATTTCCTTTCCCGCATGCAATTATATCACTGTTGCTGTGCCTCTCAGGTACTCAGCACACTGGTGATCTCTCTTGTACTTAACAGTACTTCAGTCCTAAGTATTGAATAAAATTATATAATTGAATTACAATATTGAATAAAAATTGCATAAACTGTTTGCTTACCACCAATCTTAAAATCTCCAGCAGCATCCTAGTTGTGTTGCTGCTTTTAGTGCTTCCATTGTTTTCTTTTTCACTTGATGGGATTATTGTCCACCTACCTGTTGCTGTTTGATGGTGAGAGATGTGGTGGGCTAGCTCTGTGATGTTTCTATCCAGCAGTTCCTTTCACTTTCTTGAATATTTTCATGCTTTATCTCATCAAAACGTTTTGACTTCAGCTACTCTTTGTCCAGATAAGTGTTTTTTCAGAGGTGATGCGTGAAGCTGTTTTTGGCTCTCAAGATGATTATCTTCTTGGTTTCTGGTTAAGAAGTCCATAGCAGTGGCTGGGGAATAAAATGGAGGAAGAAAATAAACAGTATATATAACTTTGAGGAGAGGATATAGTATATACTGCTCTGAAACGCTGCTAAAAACATTTAGAAGGTTTTGTAATCGTACATTTCCATAGATGTCCCAGGGAAGTTGCATGGTTATGAATGGGAAAGCAGGGTGGTTCATAGGACTGCAAATGAGAGAACTGGCTTAGAGACAGGCTTTAATACCTGCCTGGGGGTTAGCCGGTGAGAAGCTGTAGCTTATTCCCATTCATTTTCAGAAGAATTTTTGGAATGCCAGCAGGGCTTCATTCTCCTGTGCTTGCATAAGAACCATTTCTACAGGTTTTTCATTCTTGTGTCTAGATAAAACCCAAAGTCCTGGTTATGGACAGCCATTAACAGTTGCTCAAAATAACTTCTTGTGGGAGGGTTTTAGGTAAGTAGTTACGCTTAGCCTACGGCACATTTGTCTAGCAATTTCAGTTAGAAAATATTTTTTATTTACTGTTTTTAGCACTATTGCAGTGCTTTAGAACCACATTACACTGTAGGTACAGCACATTTCATCAGCTGGGGAGTTGTGACATTGCCGTGCATTTCTTATGGGTTTTGTTTCAGCCTCTTGGAGCCAGTGACTATTTGGAAATATCAAAGCACTTTGACACAGTCTTTGTTCGTGACATACCGCTTCTTACAGTGGCAAAAAGGACACAAGCTCGTCGCTTCATTACTCTTATTGATACCTTTTATGAGCATAAGGTGAGAACCAAGCCTTTCCTATGTGTGCAGAGTAATATTGGGAGCTCTAAAATCTGACATCCAATTGGTTTGAAGTAAGGCTTTCTATAGTAATGATTTGGAAAACATAAGCAGAATGCACTAGCTCTGCAAAGAACCATCATTCCAGCTTCACAAAAGAGGTCTCATCACTATAAAGGCAAATAAGCAGGTTTTGGTTTGTTGGTTTTTATATTTCTGTGAGTATTGAACATGACCATACATACAAGCCTGAGCTCATTTGCCTTTCCCGAATAGGGATGTTATTTCCTTCCTAACCCAGGAAATCCACAGAAACCATGTCATCATTTTAATAAGGAAAGATTGTGCTGCCAGCTGTGCTGAGTAAATTTAAATTTTTTAGATTTTAATCTGCATGGGCAGTTAGTCAGGAATCAGCCTTCCTGAACAGGGTACTGAGGAGTTAATAGCATAGTTACATTATTAAGTTTAAAGGAAACAATCACTGTAGGCTTTATGTGAGGTTGCAGAACTGCTAATGGAATAGTAATGATAAATACAGCACTTCATGTGAATTTACAGAGGTTTCAATCATGGAAGCAAAATCAGCACCATTAAAACAAAGAGAAGTTCATGTTTAAGATGATTTTTTAAAAGTAATACAAGGTATGAAACCCTGTCCTGTGTGTGATTATATGTGCACACACTTAAATATTTATGCAATCAGGAAAGATCGAGATTATTTTTTTTCCAAAGAATGTCCTGGCAAGATCATCAGAAAGGCCCCACTTCAGCAAGGTATTGAACAAAGTGCATGAGTAGTCTTATTCAGGTCAGCCAGATTCTTTGTACTTTACGATTTGGAAGTGGACAATTTCTAAGAGGATACGCTAATACTTATAAACTAATAATAGTGTGTTAGAAATAAGGGGGGTGAGGTTGTCTGCTCTACCTACATGCTGTCATTAAGAATTGCAAGCAAACAGCTGCTTCCTATTCCTTCCTCCACAGGAAAACCACAAGTGTTAAGCTCCTGTCACAAGTAGTTGTTAGGAAAAAAACACCTGAGAGAGCCTATTTGTGGAGACTTGTCCAGAGTGCAAATATATTGTCTGCCTACTCTCAGCAAGTATCTCCTCCTGTAAAAATACTTCAACCTGTCTTCATTGTAGCCCCCTGTGATACCCTACCTCACTGCAGATTGTACCTCCTTCCAGCACACGTGAAAACAGCATCATTATTGCTATTAGCAGATAACGTGCATTGTTATTACCGGTAATATGCACTTGAGTAGCATGGGTGAAAGGAAGAGTGGCTCCACTCAGCCTTCTGGAAAACTTGGAATTTAAACATTCTTTAGGTGGAAATATGTGTGCAGTGCACTTAGATACTGAGAGGAATTTTAACTGTGGGGGAGAAAGAAAGCATTGGTTACAAACACTTTATAGCTGTTACTGTAGAAAGTTGATTGTGAACTCATTGCCTGTATAGCAGATATTCTGAGGATTCACTACCATACTTATTCTGTTCTCTGTGTAAAAGTTACATGAATTGTTATTGAGAAAAAGATCTTGCAAGGTTAGTATTCCAAATGACCAAGTCAAGTAGATCTGTAACAGCAGTGCTAATGAGAGAAAAGGAAAATACCTTGAAAAGAAACAAGGTCGTGATTTGAAGTTTGCTTTCCATGAAACATGTATTTTTATCTGTTTTCTCCAAAGCCCAAGTGATGAGATTGTTGCCTCTTTTCCTTCTCTCAGGTGCGTATTATTTGTTCTGCAGTGGCTCCTCTCCAAAGCTTGTTCCTGGTAGAACATGACAGTGGTGAGATAGAGAACAACAGAGTCTTGATGGATGATTTGGACTTGAGCCATGTACGTGATAGTAATATCTTCTCCCTTTTTTAACAGAATTGGATTTGGTCTCATGATTAGAGCAGCATTTTAGGACGAGGAATCAAGTAAATATTTGACTAGTGATTTGCTGCTTTTTCTGCAGTGTGTCTTTTGCTCTCATAATAGCATGTTATTGATTCATAGTCAATGTCATGATATATAGAACCATTTTGCTGAAGTTAATCATTATATTTGCACAATCGTGTATGAAAATACTGATTTCAGTTTACATTTAAAATACAGAAATGAAAGTCTGTTTTACATCTTCCTAGACTACATAGGACTGCTTCACAAATCCTCACAAACAATACTATTTTGCACGGTACCAATTCTGGTTTTCCTTTTTCCCTATAGCCTAGTTATTGTTAATGAATTTTTAAATGATTTCTCTAAATCCGTATGCAAGTAGTCAACAGGAAAGTGAAAATAGATGGTTAACACATCATCATGCAGTTTTAAACCCAAGTTACTGTTTTGCTACATTCCTTCAGAAGATTACCTAGGTGAAATAGGTGTTTTCCTTTAATATTTGGACTTAAATTTCAGTTTTTTGGTGCTATGCTACTGTCTTGTATCATCAAGGCCTGTGAAACACTCAGCTTTAGGAGTTGGGTAGGATGGACTTTGGTACAGCTATGTCTCTCACAGTTAGTTCTGTGGTGTTGTTTTTCTGTATTAATGTAGGATTCCGCCAAAGGACTCTCCATGTTCACAGGAGAAGAGGAAATCTTTGCCTTTCAGCGTACTCTCTCTCGGCTTACAGAAATGCAGACTGAACAGTACTGGAAAGATGGAGACAGAAGCAAAAATATGTTGTAATTAAAAGTTGAATAAAATCACCAGAAGTAAAACTACAGAATTGGAAAGGTTTTTAGCACAACTGAAATAATAATTGCACTTTATCATCCGGACCATATTTTCTTTCATCAGTTGTTTTTTGTGCTTAAGAAATGAGGACTCGATTATTTTTCAGTACCATCAGTGTGTGGACATGTGAAATTTTGCCTTAATTTTCTTTTCTGTAAAATACAATGTTGATATTCAGTAAATTTAATGAGATTAGAATTTTTCTGGAGAATTGGTCTAGAGACAAAGTTGACGGGCTATGCAGGGTTCACAGTAGATTTAGAATGTCATGTGAAAAGGACACTTAATGGTTGATGCGCTGCTTCTGTCATGTACAATGCAGTTGGCACAAGAGAAAAATCAAATGCTGTCTCTATGAAACTCCTCATGTTGTATAGGTCCCTGATAGAATTCTGGAACTGCTCTGTTGTGTATTCTGTTGTGGGTTTATTTGCCCCTTATTTTCTGTGTGGAGCCATCTGCTGACTTTTCAGGCTCTAAGTTTCCTGTAATCAGCCTGTTAATCAGTTTAGTTCATTGTAAACTAATGGTTTGAGCCATGCAAGAACCCTGAGGAGGAGACTGAAGGCGCTTGAAACTGCACACAGTTAAAACCAAGGTAATCACTGCTGGGAAAAGAAACTATGACAGGACAGTGTATACTGTAACATATAAGTGCAAGTTAATACTCTAAATTTTGCAGTTCTTGCATGCCTGGATATGCTGCCTTTACACCAGCGTTATATGTCTACCCTGAATTTTCTCAGGCTTCATCTATACCTAACCTTATATTGCTTCTAGCACACCTGCTCTGATGTGGGGAGAGTGATCCTGCCCCTCTACACTGCTCTCATGAGACCTCACTTGGAGTATTGTGTGCAGTTCTGGTGTCCTCAACATAAAAAGGACATGGAACTGTTGGAACAAGTCCAGAGAAGGGCCACGAGGATGATCAGGGGACTGGAGCACCTCCCGTATGAAGAGAGGCTGAGAAAGTCGGGGCTGTTCATCCTGGAGAAGAGAAGGCTGCGTGGAGACCTCATAGCAGCCTTCCAGTATCTGAAGGGGGCCTATAGGGATGCTGGGGAGGGACTCTTCATTAGGGACTGTAGTGACAGGACAAGGGGTAACGGGTTAAAACTTAAACATTGGAAGTTTAGATTGGATATAAGGAGGAAGTTCTTCACTCTGAGCATGGTGAGGCACTGGAACAGGTTGCTTAAGGAAGTAGTAAGTAGTAAATGCTCCATCCATGGCAGTGTTCGGGGCAGGTTGGATGGAGTCTTGGGTGACATGGTTTAGTGGAAGGTGTCACTGCCCATGGCAGGGGCTTTGGAATTAGGTGATCTTAAGGTCTTTTCCAACCCCAACTATTCTATGACTCTGTAATTTTGGGGTTTAACAGAGACAAAATACAGTATTATGCTTATTGACTTATAGTGCATTTTTATAAAAGGTTAATTTAATAACATATTTAGAACCCCTGAAGAGGGAAAAATATTATGCAGATGGACTGAAAAGGTTGCCCTGATTGCTTAGGGAGGAGATAGATACATAACTCACTGTCCCCACATTTAAGGGGTTTTCTTAGACTTTGCAACATGACCTTTTTCTTGTACTGTATCTGTTCCCCAAAATATTCTTTTCTGCCTTTGTTTAGCCTGATTAAATTGTTTCAGTTGTAGCCCTCCATCACAGTTACAGAAAGCTTTTGAAAGGGATTTTGGGACAGCAGGGAAGACTGGACAGATCGTGTGCACTTGCATGCGTTTTGAGAATACAGATGGTTTGGAGCCATGTGCTCAAGTCTGGTTTTCTGTTCTGACCGCTTGTTTGTCTTGGAAGACTTACAGTGGCTATACCTGTTCTTCAAAGAATTTCTAAAGCCTATATTTATAGTTTACAAGTTATGCAGCTGTGTTGTTATTCCCACAAGGGTGACTACCATGGAGAATTTTAATGTGTATTAATGAAAACCCCAATCAGAATACATTGCTTATACTGCATGAGCAATGGCTATATGAATAATTGATGTATATTTTCAGAGATTTGTATTAGGTTTCTCAACAGAGGGACTATTGAGATTCATGCATATGTGTCTGTGTATATACACACCCCTATACTTACTATATACATATATATATAAATACAGATAAAACTAATTTATATAACTTAAGTGTGTCTGGTTCTGTATTTATACGTGGCAGTCTATACTCATGAGCCTGGGCCTGTGCTGACAGGCCTAGTGTCCATCCCTAGGGCATGATGGACAGCACTGGGCATGTCCTGGCCCAGGGTGCTGCATCACCTGCAGTCCTGAGGGTGATCCCAGCAGTCCTGTCCCCTGCTGCCTGGCCTGCTCCTGGCTGCTGCGAGACAGCAGTGGTCTGTGGCTTTTTATTACCACATTAAAATGTTGTATTTGCCAAAATGTAAAGAGTGAGATGCCTGTGAATAAACTATGCATACTCCTTGATGGCCTTAAAATTGCTGGATTTATGCTGGATGCCTCTATCCCAAGATCAAGTATTGGCTTTTTAGGTTTTCTTAACTTGTAAGTTCATGTCATCTAGGATCTGCAACAAATTTTTATTTCCCTTTTAGTAATTCAACAACCATTATTGCCAAGTTAATTTCAAAAGTAATTTTGAGTAATCCTATTAATGTGGTATTATATTTTGCTGTCACAGGAAGCAAAATCCTTGTCATTATGGACCATGCAAAATGTTTCATGTTGGTTTGTAAAGGCCACATGCTGGCTAAGAATCTCTCAGCTAACTTGTTTCAAATATTTGATTGACAAAGGAATGTTCTCAGTGCCTGAAAATCTAAATTACAGCTTCTGTGAGGATAGTTACTTTATCCATACAAACATTTTATCTTTAAAGCTGTATTTTCATTTTGCATTCTTGTGCAGTAGCTCTTACTTATATTTTAAATAAATAACGCAATTCTGTCTTTTAAAGTCACAGCTTTTCAGTATTTACCTTTTCACAGATTGAGGGAACAATTGCAGTAGTTTGGGTGTATCAAGACGGCCCTCCAAAGGTCTCTGGAGGGATCAGAGGTGCCTTCTTGCTGTTGTTGCTTTTGATCTAAAAAAGAAAACCATTAATGGCCTTTTTTGATTAAAGGTGACCATAATGACACTATAGCTGGATAATGTCACCTATTTTGAAGCAGTTTAAACATCGGAAAAAAAGACCTGACCAAGTTTCAAACAGTGCTTTTCATAGTCACCAGACATCTAACAAAGAGAAAGAACAGTCTCTCCATCAAGGCCTGTCTAAGAGGATCAAGATCCAGGAGGTTTCCTTCTGCAGTTACCTGGATCTGTGACTCAGTTTCCCTGTTGACAGAATGGGAATGATGTTACTTTCTGATTTGCTGACACTGGAGTACTGCCAGACTTCACTCATTAATATTCTAAGATGCTTGCTGAGGCTCTGGGATGAAAATACTTCAGTAAAGTATGTAAATAGTGCAAAAAATAATTTAGCTACTCAAAGTGGATTAGTTTCCTTGTTTGGGTTACAGAATTATTGCCATCAACTACATACACATCACGTGCCTCTTTGCTGTGAGGATATTTTTTAAATAAAGAATCTATTTTAAAGAAAGAAAAAAAAAAATAACCTGAGCTTTATGATTCAAACCTTCATCAAGTCAGGTAGATTTTCTTCTACTTTTAACAACACATTTCCTATATGATTCATTACAACCTTAGCTCCTGCACCTGTGAACTACAGTGGCTTTGTAAATTCTGTTGGGATTCTCCTTGTATACTGAGAATTATTTTTTTTAAATATATCATTTTGAGTCTAATATATAACAAACTGAACACTATTAAATTCTTCTGTTGAGAATAATTTATGTTGTAATAAAAATAAATAAATCCAGATTTTATAAACATTTCACTTATCATTCATGCTATTTTTAGGTAAGTAAGTGTTCTGAATAGAAAGGCCTTCTGTTAATGACTTGGTGAGATTTAGGTTTTTTATCTCTGTATCCAGGGGACAAAGTTGGATCTGCAGCACTGCAGGTTTCTGGGCACTTGCTTGCCTGGATGAGCCATAGCACCGCAGGCCATTGCCCAACATGGGGCTCAGCCTTTGGCAGGTGTGCCCAGGGCTTGTGAGCTCCTCCTCCAGAGGCAGTTTAGACTTGTCCTCTTCAGTTACTGCTGCTGGCAGCCTTCATTTTGGGGTTTAGAACCCTATTTTCTACCTGACTCTTTTCTTCAGCAACTTGAGGGTGAGGCACTGCAGCTTGAGCGCAAACCACAATTAAAGTGCTCTTTTTTTTTTTCCTGTTAATTTGTGATTCTTACTGTTCAAGATGTGCTTTTGCTGACAGCTAATTAGTGCTGCAGTTAGTTTTTACAGGCTCTGCACAGCTTGTAAAAGTGCCCCTGGGAAGCAGTTAGTTAACACTTGGGCAGGCAGGGAAGTCCCTGCTCTGATGGGCTGGGAGGGCCACTGCAGCCCCCGGTGCAGGCGCCCTCATGCAGCACCTCTTAAGTGTTGTGAATGGGAGAGCAAGGCTGCAGTGTGACACTTCTCCATGGATGCCAGTGGCAGAGGATCAAGAGTGTTTTACAGTTTGGGCTTGAGAAACCAGTGGTGTAAAGTTTTCTAGGAGGGGTTAAATTTGGGGGCTATTTTTATGCCTCCTACTGGAAACATTCAGTCTCCCCATTTCTTGCATGGAGGGACTGTCATACTGAGTATCGAGCTGTAACCAACTTGCTCCAGTATCTTGCCTGCAGCAGTGCAATATCCAGTGTTTGAGAATAGCATCCAGAAAATTTCTTAATACCCCCTCATTACAGATTTGCAGAGGTTTGTGGAGCAGGATGCCATATCCTCACCAGTGGTTGCATCCCTTGTTACTCACGTAAACACTGCATTCTTCTCCAGGCTAATTTAAATCTTTTATTTTTCCCCTCAAGCATCCTGCTGCAGTGAGACATCGGGGTCTAGTTATTTTGCTCAAGGAACAGTCCCTTTACATGCTTTGCTGCCTCTTCCAAAATACTTCAAGAACAGATGCAGCTAATCTGCCTTTGCAGTTTTGTTTGCCCAGTGGGTGTTTCTCTCATATCCCCCTCATCCATTTCCTGCCAGAGATGAGCAAACCCAATGTGTCCATCTCTTGACAGAGAAGAGCACTACTTGTCTTGGGATCCTTAATCTTTTGCTGTTGTTCTGCACCCTCATTTCTGATGTAAGTTCGTGTGTGTCTCTGCTTCCCAAGACTCCTGCACTTGGAGTTTCCTGCTGCTTGGCTTTGGGCCTTGAGAGCTCTGGTACATATGAAATACAGGTCTGGGGGTGCATCTGTGCCCCTGCAGAAAAGGGGACGTTTTCTGAACCCTGGGTTGCAGCAGTGCTTGCATCTGCCTTTCTCTCCCCCGAGAAGGACTTGCAGCAGCAGTGCCTTGCGTGAGAGCAGAGGGAGGATGGAGCAGATGGAGGATGCAGGCCACTTGCTCCCTCTCCAGCCTTCTGCATTCTCCACATATTTGTAAAACAACTTTTGTTTTAAATTGAATTGAATTCTAAGAGCGCCACTAAAATACAGAAATGCTTCTCACTGACCTATTACTCTGCATTCATGTTGGTAAAATTCTGGATGAGTTTCTATAGTCCTCCCGCCAGTTCTTTGTCAGGGTGAAGGGTTTAGTTGGCTCTGTTAATCCACTCTGTAGCTGAAATTGTTCATTTAAATTGTTATAAAAATCCACTCTTTTCCAATGCGAATCCTATATTCCCAGATTCAATTACTGCTGCCAGTGCAAAGACTTCAAATTCTTTGAGTGCAATCACACTGTGTCAGTCCAAAGCCAAATTGCAAACACTTATCCACAATTCCCCTTACTCAGCTTTAAGCTAATTTTTCCAGTTGGCAACAATAGCCATAAAAGTATAGGGAAAGATTATTAGAAGAGTTTAAGAAATGGTTGATCAGCTCCTCCACAAGCTGTGGTACAATTCTACAGCATCCTCTTCTTGCAAGGAGCAAAACTTTTCATTCTGTTACTTAATATATTTTTAGCACTAGGCTCTTCAGTGTCACAGTAATTAAGAGCGATCACAGCCAGTGAAAGACGAAGCATGGAACAAAAGATCAAGTGATTGTTTAAGCTGAAGTTAACTGAACCAAGAAAAGTAAGCTCACTGACATGAAGAAAAAGGCTTTCTTTGTATCCTCCGGTATTTTACAATTAGCAAAGCCAAACACACTTGTGTAACTTTTTCTACCTACAGTGATGGATAACGTTCAGGTCACAACATGATGTGTTGGGTGGTGAAGTTTTTTTCCTGCAGGCTTAAGAGCATCACTCATGTCAGGTCTTTCCTGTAGCTGAGGTACAATGTGCCCAATATCTCTTCCTGCTAGTCAAAGTTCAAACATTTTGCAAACAGCTAACAAAGTTAGTTGGGGTGGAGAGTGAAATTTGTTGAAAACATAGGCAGAGGACCAGTCTCCTTCAGTGGCAGTTGCTATCTACTGAAAAGTAACATTTCAGAGGCCAATGGAGAGAGGAGCAATTACTGTCCAGCGAAATTAAAATCTGAATAGGCTGCCATTTTCAGTGCTTCACTAGGATGGCTGTGATTGCTATAGAAACTTCTGAGAGTGAGACAGAGAGGTTTTCCAGCACTGGAAATTACAAATGGAGAAGGTTAGACTGGGTGCAAAGCCCATTCAGTCAGGCAGCTGCCAGTTGAGCCTCTTTGCCAAGTAGATTGTAGGAAACGCTGATTAAAATGTCCACTGAATGCACCAGGCAAATTAAATTTCAGTCACAGCCGGCTGGGCAGTTTCGGTGGGAAGATGGCTCCGGTGCACCTGGGCTCCCTCTCCCTCTGCAGAGAGCCTCTCCTGCGGGCACTTGCCCCCTCTCACAGGTATAGCAGGGATGCTGCAGCAGTCATGCTGTGGCAGTCTAAGGACACGGGTAAGATGAGGTTTGTGAGGAAAGCTGGTAGCAGCCAGTCTAATAAAGGACATCTGTGGGGAAAAAGCAAAGCCAGAGATGGTTCCAGGTGGGGGAGCAGTGTTCCTCCCCGAGCCCAGCTTTGCCGTCTCTCCAAGGGCACAAGAGCAGCAGATGAGGGCTGCTGCCATGTCCACCTCCATCTGACTGGGCTGGCACCCCCATTTTGTTGTGTGTGTTGTCCCCACCATGCTGATATATATGAACAAGAGTGCACTCTTTGAACACCTCATCTGCCAGCCCCTTCCCCTACAAACAGCCTGTGGTGGACAGCTGAAACTGTCCCTTTGGGTCAGAGCAGCAGGCAGTACAGCCAAAATCCTGCCGCAAACCAAGAGATGACTAAGCCTCCCACCAACAGTGGGAGCCTCCCACAAACAACTCAGACAAGCCCCTGAAATCCCCCTTGCAGCCCATCAGTCCCCAGTTTTGGCTGCACACCCAGGTGCATCTGCAACTCCACTAATG